CCATCGCCGAGGATCCATCGAACCACGAGATAATCAGCAGTCCCATCTCGCTTCACTCAAGCGACGATCCAGCTCTGCTTAAGCGGCAGCTGCGAAACTCGGAAAACCGCGTGGCCGAGCTTGAGAGACAGTTCACATCTGAGAAGGACCTGAAGCGACTGAACAAGACCCTAATCGAGAAGCGCAAGACCGTCTCGGTATTGGACACCCAGACTGAGATTATGATCAGGCAGTTGGAGGTACTGGCTGGATACGTCGAACGTGCGAAGGAAACGAAGAAGCCTGTGGATCCCCGCGATCTCGAGGACTCCGCGATCAAAGAGTTCGTGCAGAAGCTTGATAAGGTCAAGCAGACTATGAGCGCCGCTATCGAGCAGCTTCACGCCGAGCGTGACGAGTTGATCGACGAAAAGAACCAGGCTATCGCCGACAGAGATCGTGCTCTGCTCGAGTTTGAGCAGCTTTCATCCAAGAACGCCCAGCTCGCCGACATGAATAACGATCTCACCCACCAGATCCAAGAACGCTTCAAGTCACAAATCGGGGGCGAACTCAAGTCACCCAACGGTCTAGGCATCTACAGTCAAAGCAAGGTGTTCTCTTCATCTAATTTGAATTTGGCGGACTCTGCCAGCATGACCACTACACTTGTCCACGAGACAGAGGAGCCTGTTGTGGAGGCCAGGCCAACCGTTGTTGATATTCGCAAGGGCCAGGTCAAGAAGTTCAACTGGAAAAAGGGAGGCAAGAGCATGGCGCAGAACGTGGCCAAGGGTGTCAACCGAGCCGTCGTCGCATTCCAGAATGATCGTGAGCGTGGCATTCACCAGCCAGGGCTTACAGGCGACAATATCGGCTTGCCATACAACATGACTGTATCTCAAGTCGAAGCTCCGAGTACTCAGCTTCCGAACAACGCCCAGAAAGGTGCACCTTCGCAACAAAGCTTTGGTTTCTTCGGAAAGAAGGCTGCCGGCAAGTCGATGTCTACAACAAATGTGGCAACACCCGCAATTGCCGAGGCACCTTCTACTTTGTTCGGCTCTGACCTTGTTGAGAGAGCCGACTTCGAGCGCCGCACAATTCCCAGCGTTGTCACTCGTTGTATCGAGGAGGTAGAGCTCCGTGGTATGGACATTGAGGGTATCTATCGAAAGACGGGTGGCAACTCTCAGGTGAAGATGATTCAGGAAGGGTTTGACAAGAGCGAGGATTACGACATCTCGGACCCCGGCCTCGATATCACGGCAGTGACGAGTGTGTTGAAGCAATACTTCAGGAAGCTTCCAATCCCGCTGTTGACGTTTGATATCTACGACAGGGTGCTTGAGTCCAATGGTAAGTTTGTTCCCGAAGCAAATCGACCCCAAGTACTGACAATCTCTTTTCAGCCATCACGGATAAGACTGAGCGCTGCGATCACCTTCGCAACGTGTTCGGTTCCATGCCTGAGCGTCACCGCGACTGCCTTGAGTTCCTCATGTTTCATCTTGCGCGGGTGGCTCAAAGAGAGCCCGAGAATTTGGTTTGTCTTCTTCACAATGGCTTAGTGCGTGGTGTAGCTAACCGGCGGCTTAGATGTCTCCCAAAAACCTGGCGGTTGTGTTCGCTCCGACAATCATGAGAGACACCAGCCTTGAGCGAGAGATGACAGACATGCACGCCAAGAACTTGGCTGTGCAGTTCGTCATTGAGAACACCCATGCCATCTTCATCGATTAAACAGTTGGCCTTGGATGGACTATTGCCGTGTTGGAAAAAGGAAACTTGTATATATCCACACCCCCACGACCTTACGCCTTCGACCGCTTTTCTTTTACCATTCCTAGCTCGGAGACGACCTGCCCCTCGCTGTCGGCCTTTGACTTTTCACCTTTGGATTTCCGTTTTTTCAGTTGACCGTTGCCACGACTGCAGAAAAAGGGGCGTTCCATGCTAGGAAGCTTTAATGATATCCACATTTCTTGCCTCGGGGCACGGAAGGAGTTTCTTGTTTCTCAACGGCGGGTTTGGGAATAAGAACCGGCGGGACATGTTTACATTCGTTGCGAGCGCACTTTTAACCCTCACTCGTTGGCTTCCGAGTGCTGAGCATGACTTCATTTGTGGCGGGGTTTTTTTTTTTTTTTAGCGAGCTGTCGAAGGGGTGGTGCAGACGATGACGCATGGTGGATGACGAAGAATGAGGATGGCTGACGGGAGGCATGATAGCTGCACACAGGAGGGGTGACATTGCGGAACAAGGGCATTTGAAGCAGTACCGTTGCAAATCAAGCGGATGGTTTAGCCATCTCATTTTCTGAGGAGAAAAAAAGAACCAAAAGCAGAAGAAGAAAAAACAAGAATCGAAGTTTTAAACCCCTCAATGCCTACAACCATATAATATGTGACGTGTGGTATCAAACTGTGTAGGCAATTGAAAAAGAAATTTACGCCGCCGTACTGTATGCGCTTCCAGGCACTTGCTCACTTGGAGTTGCCAACCATGCGCTTCACCTTCTCTAGCAATAACGAGCTCTCCCGGCCAAGCTTCCGTTGACCGTTCTCGCTGCCCTTGCGGGCCTTGGCCATGGCGCGACGGAACCTCTCACGATCGGCGACCTTGCGCTCGCGCTCCTCGCGACGACGCTGGATCTCGGCGCGACGGGCCTCGGCCTCGGCCTTGCGTTTCTCGGCGTGCTCCAGCTGTTTCTCGTAGTAACCTGGCTTGCGAGGGCGGCGAGGCTTGCGCGGCTCATAACGGTCGACGCCCGCATCGTCCTCACCGTCCTTGCCGTCTGCATCATGGTCGTCTTCGTGTTCTCCTTTGCCGTGCTTGCGCTTGACGGCGATGGTGTTTGGGTTGGGTAGCTCGCCGTCGTTGGCAATCAGGTCTGAGCGGGTCGGGTGGACTTCTGAGGGGTCGGGGCCTGATGGCGTCGGCTTTTCTTCAGATTGTTCGAGTTCTGGTGACGTGGAGTCCACTTGAGGTGCCTCTGATGTCTGTGGCTCATTCATGGGTTCGTCCTCATCGTCGCTAGAGTCGGCAAGCTGCTGCTGCTGCTGCTGCTGCTGCTTCTTGGATGACGATTGGGCAGCGAGCTCCCTCTCTTTGATCTTGGCGTATTGCTTCTTGATCTTGGCCTTGCGGATGAGTTCTGCCTTCTTCTTTTCGACTGTGAGGCCTGTTAGCGACTGAGATTGCTGTGTTCAGCAGACGGGAAACCCACCCTTTCTACGCCAGGGCCCCTCGGGCAGGTTCTCTGGGCCAACTCGGAAACCCTTGCGAGGCTTCTTGGATGCATTCGAGGATGCTGCGCCCTCGGCGGCGCGCTTAGGAGCCATTTTCCGGGAAGAGAGGGCGTGTGTGTGTGTGTGTGTGTGTTCGGCGTTGGTGAGAGATGATCTCGATCTCGGCGGCCGACGAGATACGAGTGCGCCGCCTTTCTGCTTCGGTGAGTGGATTTGTCTCGCGATTCGTCTGAGCGTCTGTATATTGAGATTTGGTCCGAGTCAGTACCAAAAGGCTCTGCGAATCCCTATGTTGAAATCCGGAAACGCGAGAGTGAGATGGCGGATGTAATTGAAGATGAAGGATGAAATTTTAGGTGGATCCGGGGCGAAGTCCCAAAAATCGAGTCCCAAATAGGTCTAGCGTGGTGACCCGCTTTGGTCAGCCAACGTCTCGTCGTTGGAGCCGCAAGACGTATTCTGCAGACTTCACCTCACTCTCCACGTCTACGATATCAGCCAACATTAACAGCACCTAGACAGGTCTCTTCGACTCTGCTTCATTTGCTGTAATTAATTTCTTCAGCACTACTTTATACCCCGTACACTCGACGCCCTGACTCGGCGGGTGTCGTAGGGACGCCTGGCATCCAAACTGGCTGGCATGAAAATGCGGCGCGAAGCGTTTTGCAGCTCCATTTCGAAAGACGTATCAAGTATTAGAAACCGACTCCTTAATTAGCGAGGTAAGCTTCTAGTTCGCGTGCTTTCCATTGGTTCATTATCGCCGGAAGCCTCATCTTTCCTTGCAGGAGAGTAGGTAATCAAGTATTATCAGCACGTTGGCCGGAAAACTCTGCATAAGAGGAACACAGGAACCTCGTAAGCTAGGCTGTAAAATCAGGAGGCATCTGGCCCAGCAAGTATCGACAGTGTTTATGGGTCCACCCTTTGGGGTCATTGATAAGGTAGGTTGCTGATCCGTGGTTCCAGCAACCCGGACAGCGAAGGCAACCACGAACCTCAGGTGCCTTCCCAACTCAACCCTCACACCCTGCTGGAACATTCGTGCAAAGGTATATGCCCCCTAAAAAAAAGGAGAGCCCCCATCACAAGTTCGGCATTGATGCGAGCCTTTGGCTCAGTCGGTAAAAGCACAGTTGGCGTGCTCATATAGAGGCCGTATAAATACCACCAAGTTCGAGTCTCTATTGACTTGTGTGTTTTCAAAAAGCTCGAGGTGGCGCGCTATCGCAGCGCGTTGTTAAACTTTTGCCTTTTCTTCGTTTTGATTTTTTTTTTGATATTTTTAGGGTTGTAAAATTATGTCGATGTGAGTTCCAGAGATGGTGATGGCGGCATGGTATTTTGGTCAGAACGAACCATTTTAGGTGGTGGGGCGGATGCTCCCTGTGCGTCTCTTGAGCAAATACAAGTCTCCCGCTTCATGAAGCCCGACCCTTCTTTCTCAAAAAGAGAGAGAAAAAAAAAAGGGACTTCATTTAAACGTTAGGTGGTCATCTCAATTTACCGTTGTCGCTGCACGCGGTCCCATTGATCACGCATCATGCTTGTCATCAGCGCCACCTGGGACATCTTCTCATCCTCGATATCTACCATTTACTTTTGCTTTTCTCCAGACTCTAATGCCGAATTGGACCGTCCTTTCATATTCATCATATCTACTCAAAATAATACCGGCCTTCCGAGGTCTACTCTATACAAAAACCGAACATCTAGATACTTCCGGCAAGCTGCAGCTTCCCTCTGCGCACCACCCTTCTCGTCACTCACAGCTTCTGCGTAACCTTCACATACAACGACTCCGCCTTGGCCAAGACCTGGCCGTCCTTGTCCTCAATCACGCCCTCGATCCAGTACTTGCGCCCTTCGACCTTTTTCACCGTAGCCACCACCAAGATGGTCTGCGGCGTCTGAACGGGCCTGACGTACTGCGTATTGAGATACGCCGTCATGTACGCCCCGTCTGGGATCAGCCCGTTGATCTTGTTTACCGGGAACACCAGCCCGATAACCTCGTCCAGAATCGTAGCCACGATCCCCCCGTGAGAGACATTGGGGTACCCGTTGACCCCGTGCCGCAGGGTCAGCAATGCCTTGACCTCGCGAATCATGTTCTCCCCAGAAGCAGCGGATGGCCGCTTGTACAGCGTTAGGAATGCCGCGATGGTCTTGTCGGTGTGCAGCGTTGTCGAAAAGAGCTCGTCTTCGGTGTCCTGCTTCGGGAACCGCGACGACGCCGTCTCGCGGACCGTCCCCGGCGCATCGATATGCGCCGCGGCCCATGGGATCGAGAGGAAGTGCTTAGCGTCTGGATTTTCCGACTTCATGGTTGCTGTGGTTGTTATTGTTCTTGCCGCCGCGGCTGGTGACCGGTGAGACGGGATTGCTGCCAAGCTGTGGGTGATGGGCCGGATCTTGATGGAATTGATGTACTTCTTGAATAATAACATGACACACGGTCGCGCCTCACTAAATGAGTGATAATGGCTCCTTTTCACCCTGAGATCGATGGCAGACTGAATTGAGGATGGGGCTGTGAGAAGTCCACCTCCGGCGTTCGGATACCGAGTGACGGTAGATGAATGGGGCCGAGGTCTAATCAGATCCATCTCCACACATATCGCCTGGGGTCTGAACTGGATAACTGGCCCGTGCACGGGGTGTTCATGTCGACTTGGGACCTTGGCTCCAACAGTTTGGATGAGGCGTAGCAACTGTCCACAGATGCGGAAACGTCTGCGCTGATCTTCATTGGCACCCTAAATGACGCGTTCTAACATCATGTCGGCAGAGATAAAACCCCCTACCAGAGATAAAACCCCCTACTCAGAATCTAAATTGTCCGATGATAATGTTTTCCAGGCTATCAAAGCATGTATCTGAAGTTTTCATTCACTGTCTTTGAACGCCCAACAGAACCGACGAGGCCTTGTTCTTCTTCCACATCAACGCTGTCTGCGGTTGATGCGTCTATCTTTCGGTTCAAGAAGCCGAGGTAAAATCTTAGGATGAGCGCGAGAACAGCTACAGCGAGCATCGCGCATGCGCAGGTTCGCATGCCAGGCGCATAGAAGGGTGCATCTCGATCCGGATACAACCTCGTCCCCACGATTGGTCCACATTGCCCAATGAATTGCATCAAGGCGAATCCACCCCCTTGCCTACTTTCGGAGGGCTGGTTATTGATGCTCCATGCGATGGTGAGTGTCACCACGTTGAAGAATCCTATCGCAGCGGGATACACAGCCAGGTAGCGCAGCGGCGGAGGCAGGCCGAATGGCTCTGAAAATGCCAAGGCGGCATATCCAGCCGCCGATGCGAGAGCGTGGAAGATTATTGGGCCCGATCGAATCTGAAATCGGTCGGACAAGTGTGCCGTCAGCAAAACAAAGAGGAAGGCCAGAAAATAAGGAGGTACACTGAGCCCCTGTGATTCCAAGCGGGAGTGACCCATCTCGTGAAGAATCTTAGGCAGAAACACGGGCAGGGAAGAGTACGCCATGTTGGTTAGAAAGAACATTGCAGCCGTCAACCAGGCCATTGGATCGCAGAGGATGACAACCACTTCGCGAAGCTTCAGACCAGGGGCCTTCTTTTCGCCACGTGTCTGATGCGGTTTCTGATGTCGAAGTCGGAGTCGTGCCACTTTGCGTTCTCGTGCCGTGAGATATGGTGCCGTCTCCGGAGTGTCCGGGATAATGTGCCAGGCAGCTACAGCTACCAGGACGGAGGGGAACCCCTCGACTAGAAAAAGTAGGCGCCACGGAGCAATTGGGCCATATTCGGCGAAATTGATAATCAGCCAGGCCAGTGAAGATGCAAAGGTTGTCGCTAGCGGCGCAGCTACACATAGTCAGTGCCTTGAGGCGGAGGGCGTTGTCGAGTCAGACGAACCTGATATGAAGATAGCAGTACGGAACGCAAGTTCCTCCCTCTTGAAAAAGAAGGACAAATAGAACGGAATCCCAGTGAACCCTGCTTCTCCAATTCCAAGTAGAACGCGGAAAAAGATGAGCATTGGATAGGACACGGCGACTGACTGGAGCGCAGCGGTCAAGCCCCATGATAAGACAATCATGGAGACGTATATATGTGCCGGAATAAGCTTCCACAATAACGACATCCATTCGAAGGCGATGTACGCGATGTAGAAGGCTCTCAGCGTCCATTCGTACCATCCATCCCAAGGCGGCTGCGATTGAAGATCCTCATCCATGCCTGCAATGCGCGCGTTGCCGATATCTGTGTGCGACATTTCATCAGCATCAACATGGCTAGAGGTGTTGCAATGGTAAACAAACTTGACCGATCCAGAAAGCTCAGCATGAACAGAAGCGCCACGAACAGAACCAACCGCCTATCGAATTTGCGAACAACTGCGCGTTCCTCATCTGGGGTGTATAGTTGAAAGCTTGAAACGGTGCTGTCGCTCATCCGTCTCCGTGAAGAAAACGAGTCGTCTTCGCCTCCATCGTCCTTCTTTCCTGCTGGGTTTACCAAGCTCTTGAGCTCATAGGCCTGGCCTCCACCGAGCTCTGCCTCACGGAATTGCAAATCCCCTTCCGCATCGTCGAGCTCGAAATTGCTGTCCAAGTCGAATTCGGCTGTTGTTTGGGCGACCGATGGCGACGGCGACGTTTCGCCGGCCCTCGAGGAGGCGTCAGGGACGCGAAGCCTCGAGAATTGGGCCATGATAAGATATCATACGTATCGATGTGTGCGAGACCGCAAGGTGGTCACGGTCCGTGACGGAGAGGAACTGTTAATTAAACCATGGAAACAGGAAAGGCTGCAGCTGGCCGACTCGTGCACCAATTCGCACGACGCAAGCAGTGTAGGTAGCCGCACAATCGCATGGGAAAAATGGGCGTTGGGGATGGCTTTAGTCCATGTTGGTGTCTCGAAGGAGCGAGCTGGGCGCGTTCCTGCTAAAATACCTGGAACAGCCATACAGCTCAGGTGAGAGGCCTCGGCCAATGACGTAGCAAGCCAACCCCTGCCATCGCAACGCGGAAAGCTGGGGTTGCAGGGGGCGCTCATTGCGGCTGCAGTTAGTGGACTGAGGGAGGACGACGATCAAGGCGGTAATAAATCATGACAGCTTTCCATCATTTTCTTTTGAATGTAAACAAATCTTTTATTATTCGCCGTCGCTTTGTGATAATGCTCCCTTCCGTAGAGTTTGCTCGGCCAGAATTGGGGATATCATGAGGTCGATGTTGCGTGGTGTTCGGGCCAGAACAGCAAATGCAACGATTACACGCACATGATAACAAGCCTTCCCCGATGCGCTCCGTAGACTAAGGGCTTTCATGGCTCGTCTTTTTTCCCAAAGAGCCTCCTGAAGCCACCACCCTTGGGCGTCTTGGGCCTAAAGTCCATAGATGGCTTCGTTTGTAATAGTGCTGGCGTTTCCCCCGTGTTCATGTTGGGGTGCTGGAAAAGGGTGCCATAGGGCAGTCCCGCCTCCTTTGGCGAGACTTGTAATTGCTGCGGGGACATTGCCGACGCGAATTGGCTGGCCGGTACGCTTGATATGTACTCCTTGGGCGAGGCTGCCGGTCTCGAAGATGGGCCTGCACTCCTGTCGCGACCCCTCGGAGTCTCGCTTTCTGCATCCCGTGGGTCGTCCTCCATCGCTTGCTCCTTGGCTGCACCCATATCTTCGGGGAAGTCGCGCACCTCGTCACCACAGACCACGACATACCATCGGATATCTTCACCACGTTGCAGCTGATCCCTCAGCTTCTCAAACCACCCTGCCTTTTTCCCCGATGTCGAGCCCTTCTTGGCCTTGTAAAACTCATCACTCGGGGTGCTGGCCATGGCCTTTGTCTCGCCCAACCGCTCTTCATAGCGCATGATCTCCTCCGCGATTGAGTTACTCAAATCGATGCGCACGACATGGTCGGCGACGTAGGCGTAGGGGCGGCTGACGTAGCTCAAATCTGTCGGGTCGTATTCTTCGAGCAGCTTCACGGCACTCCAGCTGTTCTGCAATACATCGTCCTCCTCGGGAGGCACAGTTGAGGGTGGCACATCATATTCGTTCCTGAGAACACCAGCTTTGAGAGGCTTGGACTTGTTCCGCTTCTTCTTTTCTCGTTGGGCTTCGGTATCTTCGGGAGGTGGTTCGGGGAGAAAATCGAAGAGGGAGTAGAAGGATTCGAGAATAGCGGGAGAAGAGTTCGGCGCTATGATCCATTCCGGGGCGGCATCATCGATATTTTGGACAACGACAAAAACTCGAATACTTCGGCGGTCCCAACGAAAGCCGTGACAGAGATAGGTAGGCATGGCGGATAGTTGCGATAGAGCTTGGATAGGCGGGGAGGGGTTGAGAAAGATAGGACGAAGCAGCGGATTGGTGGGGGAACGGAGGGAGCGCAGGGGATACGGGTACGATAACGAGCGTGAGGCGGTGGATGACCCCGGAGCTGGGGGGTCGGCCGGGAGCTCGAATGGCCAAAGGTTGAAAGATGAACAGGTCCTGTCGTTGGCGTCGTCTTGGTTGATGCCGTTCGGTATCAAGTTACATGAGGTCGCCTAATTGAGGCGGGCTACGCCGACGATGGCAAGTCGTGACGACGGCGGACGACGATGGTTTGTGGGTCGTGGTTGACGAGGTGGTGGTCGAGCAGAGCGGAGCAGAGCAGGGCAGCGCAGAGCAGAGCAGGCGGGCAGAGGCTGGGAGAAAGGATCAAGATGTGAAAAGCAAGACGAAAGGCTGGTTGCCGACGGGCGCTGAGAGTGGTACGCCGTGCATTATTCAATTTGCGGCCGAGGAAACATGGCTTGTCGCATCGCTCACGCTGGGCTTCGGGGCAACGTCGTGGGCACCAATGGCTCCGGACTGGGCGAAGGCGAGCTCGCGCGTTGAGTGGCCAGATGGTGAGGCGGGAGCTGGGAGAATAAGCAAAGATGAGGCCCGGTCGAGGTCGGGTGGTGCAGAGCAGAGCAGAGAGTGCAGCGAGCGAGTGATGCGAGTGAGTGGGCGTGGGAGAGAAAGAAAACAAGGGCAAATAGAAAAACCAAGTGGACTGGAATGGAAAGTGAATTGATTGAAGGTTCTCCCGGTCGTGCTCCTGCTCCTGCTCCTGCTCCATGCTGCTGCTCCATGCTGCTGCTCCTGTTTAGTGAGTGTCCTGCGTCTGGTGCTCTGCTTGCTCCCACCCTGGACCTTACGCCACCCGACCTCACCGGAACGCAACCCGGAGCTGCTGGGTGGTGCTTGCCATTCGGTGTTTTGCACCTGCTCTGGCCTGTGCCAGTCGGGTCCATCCTCTCGACACGGGAACGGGCCTATTTCTGGTACCTTGGGTGCCCA